ATAGAAATGCCTGAAATTATCACTTAAAAAGTTTCAGGAGCCACAATTAATTTCACTAATCAAAACCTCACATTAAAATAGTTTTACCTAGGCTGGACACAGTGGCTCATGCCTGTAATCTTAGTGCTTTGGGAGGCCAAGGCAGGAGGATCACTTGAAACCAGGAGTTCAAGCCCAGTCTGGGCAACATAGCAAAACCCCTTCTCTACAAAGAATTTTTTAAGAATTAGCCAACGTGGTGGCACACACTTGTAATCCTAGCTAATCTGGAGGATCACTTTGAGCCCAGGAGTTCCAGGCTGCAATGAGCTATGATTGTGCCACTGCACTCTAGCCTGGGCAACAGAGTGAGACCCTGTCTCTAAAAACAATAAAATAGTTTACCTAGATTCTTAGTTCTAGTCCAAAATCAAAAGGCAGTCTGTTATGGTTTTAGTATAGTTTTGTACTGACAGTTTTCCAAATGGTAATATAAATAATAAAATATTTGATGAAGTAAAGAAATAGAATGAAGGACTTTAGCACTCCAAGCTGTTAGTCTGCTTGGAGTTGACCAAGACCTGTTTACCAAGACCATGAGTTTTGGGGAACCATATTTTAAAATTGTCTTGCTCCGCTGCCCAAGATGAACTGGCTTGACTGCTTTACCCTTGGAGAAAACAAACAGGCCCTGGAAGAGGCAGCAACAGCTGACCTGGATATCACAGAATTAACAGCAGAAGTTACACAGACACCCCTGAAATCTGCCCAAACACAAAAGGTAATACAAGTCAATGAAGTGATAGTTGAAGAAGAAGAAAATAAACATTAGAATCTTCAAACTACAAGTGTTGAAAAGTGTTCTATCTAAGAAGAGAACCCAAGTCATACCAAAAATAGGCAAAAGCAAAAGGTCAAGACATTATAATGCTATTACCTCTGCTGTGGGCCATTTGGAGTTGTCTGTGATAAAACCAGCTCCAGGCCTGACACCCTGGTTTGATACAGAGTCTTCAAGACCCCTGGCTAGCACACCCTAACAGCCAGAGAGCAGATTTACAATACAGATGGTCTCTGACTTACCGTGGTTCAACTTAAGATCTTTTCAACTTTACAGTGGTGCAAAGCCATCACAATTTCAACATATAGTCATGCCTTGCATAACAACAGGAATATGTTCTGAAAAATGCGTCATTAGGTGATTTCTTCATTGTGCAAACATCAGATTATACTTACACAAACCTAGATGGTATAGCCTTCTACATTCCTAGGCTATGTGGTATTGCCTGTTGCTCATAGGCTATAAATCTGTATAGCATGTTACTGTACTATACAGCTGAAAGCAGTTGTAATACAGTGGTATTTATGTAGCTAAACATAGCTAAACATAGAAAAGGTACAGTGAAAATACAGTATAAAAGTTTTTTAAATGGTACACCCATATAGGGCACTTCCCATGAATAGAGATTGTAGGATTGCAAATTGCTCTGGATAGGTTAGTGAGTGGTGAGTGAAGGTGAAGACCTAGGACATTACTATTATACATTACTGTAGATTATAAACACTATATACTTGGACTACACTAAATTTATTTTTAAAAAAATAATAATTGAACTATGATGTTATGTCACTAGACAATAGGAATTTTTCAGCTCTATTATAAATCTTCCACCATTGTATATATGGTCCATCATTGACCAAATTGTCATTATTTTGTCAAAGTACAGTACATGACTGTACTTTGAATTTTGATCTTTTCCTGGGCCAGCGATACATGTGATATTTAACACTTTATTATAAAATAGGCTTCAGGTTAGACAATTTTGCCCAACTGTAGGCTAATGTAAGTGCTCTGGGTACATTTAAGGTAGGCTAGGCCAAACTATGATAGTTCAGTAGGTTAGATGTATTAAATATGTTTTTGACCTACAGTATTTTCAATTTACTATGGGTCTTTCAGGACATAGCCCCGCCATAAGTTGAGGAGCATCTGTATGTCAGTGAATGGCAGGCAGCCGTATCACTGACAGCAAAGAGATACTCCTCACTGTGTCAGTGGGCAGCAGAAAGAACATGCTATTACCACAGTAGCTTGTGACTTGCAGAGGATCTGTGTTGTACAACTGGATCCAGAGGCCTTGGGAAACATTAAGAAGCTCTCTAGCTGTCTTGCCAAAATCTGCAGCAGCATATGGACCCACAGATGAGAAGCCAAACTTCACAGGATGAGCCTTGACTGACCACTTCTGGAACTCTGAAGAGATTTATTCCATTCAGGCTTATTATTTGTTACATTCCAGAGCAGGGAGCAGTGTTTTTCTTGGGGAATTCAGGAAGGGGGAAGACATGCTGTTCCCGCATCGGTTAAATAAAGTTTTGTTGTTCATGCCTCCTCCCATCCCCCTAAAAGTTGCCTTGCTCTGTAAAAGTAATTCCTGTCTTTTATTGAACAGGAACAAGCTAAAAGCTGGATACCTAATGTCAGTGGAGTCTTCTGAGGGTTTCCTGGATGAAGTTGGGTCCCAGGCTCTAGTTGCCGGTTCTTATGTGCCACCATCCACAGTCCTTCAACAGATTGATTCAGTGGCTAATGCTGATGTCATAAATGTAAGCAAATGAAAACTTAGGATTTAGCATCAGAGAACTTAACCTTAATGATTCAATTGCAAAAAGAATGCGTAAGTGTCCTTGGGCTGTGTATTCTAATCTCGTGTTTGATGCCTGTCTACCTAGTGTGGAGGCAGGAGGGCTCCTTACCATCAGATCTGCAGAGAGCTTCCTTATCAAATCAAGTGTGTTTTTGTCATCTTCATTCAAATAAATTACCATTAGGTTGACTGTTTTGAATTCTTAGAGATCAAGAAGAGTTGAATGTTGGCAATTTCATATGATTTCAACCTAAATAGTAAGGTTTGCTATTTTTCCTCTTCACCCTCAAGAAATAAACGCTATCCTGCCAATCCTTCACTATCCAGCATCTCAAGATTTTCTTTACTCTTCTCAGCCTAAGACATTTCTCTTGCTCTTGCTGTTGTTATTTTTTTTCTTCTCTTATATATTATTGTTCCCTACAAGATCTGCGTTGTTTTGAGGGCAAGGACTATTATATTTCTTCATGTTCCCTACTATGCCTACCAAGCACATGAACTGCAGAATCAACTCAAAGTCAGTGGGTTTTCCCAGTCCTTTCTACATTAAAAATGCCAGTGTGCCTTCCATCGTAGAAGTCTCAACCATCTTTTCACCAACAGGTCTACCTTATGTACTGAGATTATTTCAAGATCATAACCCTGGCTGGATTTTCCTTGTCCCCTAAATTCATCAGTACTTATTCTTCCAAATGGCTGTCCTCACCTTATATACCATCCTTATGGGAGTCCCATCCCACCTGCCTCCAACACCATCTCTTCTCTATTAAGAAAAAAGCAGGCCTGAGATAATGTGGGGGTTGCACTCTACCTAGACCTGCCTCATGGTATTACACTAAACCTAAACAACCAGGCTTTGAACTTGAAATACTGGCACAAAAAAATACTAGGTTTAACTATTAAGTTAACAATCAGTGTGTTTGGCTTGACCCAGATAGTTTGGCAATGTAATACAGAAATGAGAAAGTTCAGCCCTGCAGGAAGCCATGCAGCCCTATTTGACTATGTCATTAAGTTTTCTTTATCACCATTTTAACAGCTGCCCTCTTTTCTAGAACACTGCTCTTGCTTTGTGAGTTACACATGGTGGAACCTTCAGAAAAATAGCAGAGCTTCCTTACCTCATTGTCACATATTAAAATAAACACCAGCATCTATCTCATAGTTAATTTGCACAAGAGGCTATTATAGAATTGCTGGTTTAGAATGTCCTATACATAAACTCTTGAAATGACAGAATAAATAAGTTTATCCACTTGATGACATTTATTGTTATTTCTGTTAACTCTGTCTTTTTTGTTTGTTTGTTTAAAGGCTGCAAAGAAGTTTGTTTCTGGCCAGAAGTCAATGGCAGCAAGTGGAAATTTGGGACATACACCTTTCATTGATGAGTTGTAATATCGAAGCACATATTACAGGAGAGAGCTGCACATTCTCTCAGTGCAGAGCAGCAAACATGAAAGTCAGAAATCTCTAATATATTTATCTTTTTTTTAATGAGGTAAAATACTTTAAAGCATAAATTCTTCCCAGCTGACCTAAAGTCAATAAAGCATTCTGCTTAAATGTTTTATTGCATTTTTTCCTAATCAGTTAATCAACAGGTATTTATTATATGTTGATATCTTCGTTTTAGATGCTGTAAAAGACACAAAAAATAATTGAATACAAAAACATCAGAAACTATTAAAATTAAGGCCAAGTGGCTATCAGGGTAAATAGTTCTAGATTATTATTGGTGGCTTTTTAAGATAAAAGCAAGTTCAAAATCTGTCCTTTTGGGATATAGTTAAGTGGTCTGTTTTTTACCCATTTTTGCCTTCTCTGTATTAAAATTGTTTCTAGGCAGATGGTGGGGAAAAAAAGAAAAATTGTTACTGAAAAACATAAATTCACTATCAATCACATTCTGTTTTCCCGTGGCTTCATTTTATATGTCTGATTTAGCTTCATTGGCAGAGTTTGGTTTTTCTCTCATTTCCTATCTCCCTTGTCTGTTGCTATTGTGTCTTTTTCAAGGAATTCACTCTCAGTGCATAGGATACATTAAAAAAAAAAAACTCTCAGTGCAACATTCAAAGTAAAAGTGAGCTGAAAAGGGGAGAAATTCTAATGTGAACATCTAGCCAAAGAATGAATCTCGGTTATTGCTTTTAAGTAGGGCTCTTGAAGTTGGTGGGGAGGGGAAATTAGATCTCTAGACTTATTAAATAAAAAAGAGAGAGAAACTAAAAAGCTAAAGAAAAAAAAGGAGGTATTTAAGTGAAGTTCTCTACTATGTTCAGACATTCTGATATTAGTTTCCTCTACTGCATTTTCTAAAAGATGAAAAATTCTTTACAGAAAGTAAGGTAAGAGTCTTGATGATCTGAATTATGTTACTATTTTGAGAATAAGATTTGTGAGGCCTGCAAGACTGCAGGGATGTCTTTAGATAATCACGTTGAAGGAAGTCTCTGAAGGCTTTACAGTGCAGTCATAGGAGAGATTTGGTAAGTATGTACATATTCCTGTAGGTATAGCTAACCTGCACCCAGTGATGCACAAAAATTTGGTGATTTCAAGATAAATGCTTATATGATCACAGATTTGCAAACCACTGCCTAATCAACCTTTGATACTGGTTGACCTTTGCCCTTTTCAACTTGGGCACAGTCCTCCAGCCAGAATGCATCTGAGATGGAGGAAGCGGAGGAGGAGGAGCTCTCATTGTCTTGCTTCACCATGGTCCAGTATGGAGAAGGGGCTCTCACTTCTTTCTTGCGATCTCCATGAATCATCACGTCACAGTTAATGTCTTTTCCTACACGAATAGTCTGGTTCTTCTTTTTATATCCATGCCATTCTCTGGAGATGGATATTGGTCTCCTTGCAGAGTGATGCCTAGTTGACTGTGAATAATTATGGTGTGTAAGTCTTTTATCTAAAACTACATCTTCATTGTCATCACTGCTTGTGAAAGATTCATCTTTTGCCTGCCCACTTTTCTTTGGTGTGCTGAAATGAAAAGAATAATGAATGAAATGGATTCTTAATGCCTGAACATTTATGATCCCCCAGCAATATGTCTTATAACTTACTTTGGCTAATAAAAGATACAATTTAGCTTTAACACTACCTCTCTGTGTCATTGAAGTCTTTCTGTTTTTAAAAGTGCTTTTAATTTTTTTTCTATTCCTAAACAGAAATCAAATTCCACCTTAAATTATTTCACACTACTTTAAAAAGCTTTGCACAGACTTATGCCAAACTACTGACCAGAATGTTAAGAGGTGTTACAGAAAGGGTGGGTTAATTTCACTGCAGCTAGAGTGACAGGGTCAGCCTAGCCATCTCCTCCTGAGAACTGTGTTCTTATGGATCACATGGTTACAACAGAGAACATTACTGATTTCCAGGGGAGTCAGGAAATAGTGGGCCTCAGGAATTTTTTTTTTTTTTTTTTTTGAAACAGTCTTACTCTGTTGCCCAGGCTAGAGTGCCATGACGTCACCCTAGCTCACAGCAACCTCAAACTCCTGGGCTCACGCGATCCTCCTGCCTCAGCCTCCTGAGTAGCTGGGACTAAAGACATGCACCACCATGCCCAGCTAATCTTTTGTATATATTTTTAGTTGGCCAATTAATTTCTTTCTATTTTTAGTAGAGACAGGGTCTCGCTTTTGCTCAGGCTGGTTTCAAACTCGTGACCTTGAGCAATCCACCCACCTTGGCCTCCCAGAGTGCTAGGATTACAGGCTAGGATTACAGGCGTGAGCCACCACACCCAGCTGGGCCTCAGGCATCTTTAACATGCTAATCATCCATAAGTCTTTTATTCTCCCAACACTGCCACACAGAGCATCATTCTTTGCCTCTCTTTTGGGTTTACAAATGTGAATTTGAAGAGCACCCTTCTACCCAGATGTCTTTTGTCATCTACTATTCCATTTCTCTGTTGCCATCCAAAAGCTTTAAAGGCTTTTTTTGTTACTTTCCCCAACTATTGGCTTTCTTGATTATTGAAACTTGGCTGATGCTTGCCTGCTGGCAGCTACAAACCTCTGAACTTTTCCATTGCCTACAGTACCTGTGCTCGCTATCATTAATACTTTCCAGAACAAATGCTGTCACCTGCTTGCCTCCATCCTGGCTATTGCCCAGTAAACTAAAACCAGATCCTTCTTTTTACAAACCTCTAGTACATTCTCACCCTCTGACCTGTCAAACTTGATAGTGTTATCACTAATACCCTTGGCATTCTGCCTGTTGTATTACTGCTTCCAAGAATTTGAACAGCTTTCCCTAAACTTTATCTCTTATAGTGATAAATGACTGATATAGAGTCATTTTTACTGAAAGCCACTAGTCTTAAATTGTGTGATTTTCTTTATCCTTGATTTCTGGGCCTTGCAAAGAGATTCAGAAAATCTAAGGAGGGAAACAGTTTGTCTTCAGACACATCCAGGTCTTCCTGAACAGCACATGAATGTAAAAAAAAAAAAAAAAAAAAAATCCAAGTTACATTTTTTCAGACTGCAAGGGGTTGCCTTGTGTATTAGGTAACCATAAAATACAGGTTGTAGGGCTGGCTCTTATTGAACTGGCATTAGGTAATAAAGCCACAAGCCAGCAGAGGTCAGGGTTGGCTAGAAACAGTTTTCATACCACTAGGTCTCCCTAGAGCATTATATGGAATATTCTCTGTAGTGTGCACAAAGTGTCATTTTCTCTTGAAAAAGGTCATACCAACTTAATAAAAGAAGCCTTTTCCTTTCCCTTCTTCTCCTTCCCTGTCACCTTCCACATGTTAAACCAAAGTGCCTTAGATAGAAGTACTTTGCTTAATTAAGAAAGGGATTCAGAACATGCTTGTTACTGTTCTTTAATTCTGTGGGTTTAGCCTCATACTTAAGTTGTGCTATTCTCTGTGTGTATCTTTTTTGCTTTTGAATGGTCAATCTGCCATCCTTAGATTTTAATATTCCGAATCTCAAACTCCTCTGTCTAATGAAAATGCTTAGAACATAGTTATTCTATAATCAAATGGTTAAGAGCGCAGGCTTTAGAACTGTGCTCTCCCATACAAGAGTAGTTAAGTTTAAATGGATTAAACTTGAATTAAATTTAAAACTCTTCCGTTGCAGTCCCAACATTTCAACATGTGACTAGTGACTATCTTATGGGACAACACAGATGTAGAACATCACCACTACCGCAGGAAGTTCTTACTGAGCATTGCTGCTCTGGAGACAGGCCATTTAGCCCTGTGCCTCCTGCAAGTTTACACACTCCTCTCTGGGCTTCAGCTTTCTTGTCTGTATTGGAAAGCATTAGTTGTAGTCCTCACCACATAGTAAGCAATGAATATGTGTTCACTATTATTGTTAATGGTTTTTAATCAAGTTAGGATAGCTTTGATCATTGGGGGGAAAAGTTTCCTCAGTCTGATCTGAAGGAGACAGCTGATTCCCAGGCTGTAGCCTACACTCGCCATGTGGACATGCAGGTCCATCTTCTGATTTTTCAGGAAAACCCAGAAATGCAGGTTATTTCCCTGAAAGATTTGTAAATTTGGCAACTAATACAAGTATTTTTCATTTACAAAGTTTTGAAATATACAGAAAAGCATAAAAAACAGTTTAATGAAAAAAATGATAAGCACCTTGGTAACCACCACGCAGGTCAAGAAATAGACTGTTGGGGCCAGAAGACATGGCTCACGCCTGTAATCTTAGCACTCTGGGCGGCCGAGTCGGGGGGATCGCTCAAGGTCAGGAGTTCGAAACCAGCCTGAGCAAGAGTGAGACCCCTGTCTCTACCAAAAAATAGAAAGAAATTAATTGGCCAACTGAAAATACATAGAAAAAATTAGCCAGGCATGGTGGCGCATGCCCTGTACTGGGGAGGCTGAGGGGAGGCTGAGGCAGGAGGATTGCTTGAGCCCAGGAGTTTGAGGTTACTGTGAGCTAGGCTGACACCACGCCACTCTAGCCCAGGCAACAGAGTGAGACTCTGTCTAAAAAAAAAAAATAGATTGTTACTGGCCCCTGGTCCACGTGTATCATCCTTGGCTCTCTACAGATGACTGTTCTGAGTTTTTTTAATTCTGTGGGAGCTCTACAGGGCACATGTGTGTGCCATATCAGTCCATTGGGCCACAAGTTTGAGTCTCTGAAGTAAGTTTATGTAATATGGGCCATTTTCTAGTCTTTGTCAAGTCCCTGGATATTTCTTCTAATGCATCCCAATAAGCAAAGGTGCACAAATAGAGCAACAGTGCTCATAAATCTTGGCAGAATTAAGAACCACTCTTGCATCAGAGCACTGAATTTGTCACTATAAGAAAAGGATCTCAAATTCTACATGCTCTCATGTTCTATGGAATAATTCTTCATATATCTGATCATCAGAAGAATCCTTGTTATTTCTGCATTGCATACAAAGAAGCAGCCTCTCAGACGATTAGGTGATTTGTCTGAGATTCAAAGCTGGGTTTCAATTTTTCATTCACTCTTTCAATAAATAAGCCATCAACCACATGAAAATCCTATGAGGGTTTTAGCTAAACAAAACAGACTCAGTCCCTGCGCTGGTGGATTTAAATTCTCCCAGGAAAACAGTAAACAATTGATTACACAGATGATTTCATTAAAATTGGGGTAAATGTGAAGGAGATACACAAGAGTGCTGAGAGCATGACAGGTGGGCCTGTTTTTAGGAAAGCCTCTTGGAGAAGTACATTGTGAACCTTCAAGGATGAGTGCTGAGGGGCAGAGTTCTAAGCATGTTGTAAATGGTGAAAAGGAAGTTCAAAGGCCCTGGGATAACAAGCAACACAAGGTAGAAAGCTGAAAGCTACAGTGGGCTAGAGAGGGATGGGGAAAGCAGTATGAAATGAAGCTGGAATGGTATGCAGAGGCCAGCAGAACCATGGAGAGAAGTTGTAGCCCAATGCAAAGATTTTGGCATTTATACTAATAGCAAAAGAAGGTCTTTTATTTTATACAGGAACATGCCATGATCAGATTTGCATTGTAAAAGGATCATCCTGTGTGGAGAATAAATAAGGGGCAAGAGTAGATATGGGGAGACCAAATGGTGACTTTGACTGGAGCAGTGACAATGACCAGGGAGAGACGTGGACACTTGTGAGAAGACAGAAGGTAAAATGTCAAGTCTTAGTGATTGGTTGGGGGGTGGAGGAGGGATAGAGAAATCAAGCACAAGTCCTACATTTCTGGCTTGTTCAGTAGGGCCACTGGAAGATCACTGGTGAGCTGGTTTTAGATTTTAAGCATAATGAGTTTGAGGGGTTTATGATACATCCATATAGAGATATCAAGTGGGTATTTAAATATACAAGTTTGGGCAGGCACAGTGGCTCATACCCGTAATCCCAGCACTTTGGAAGACCAAGGCAGGAGGATCCTTGAGCCCAGGAGTTCAAGGTTCCGGTGAGCTATGATTGCACCACTGCACCCCAGCCTGGCTGAGACAGCAAGACACTGTCTCTAAAAAAACAAAATAAATATGCAGGTTTGGAGATAACATAACTTGGATGTGATTAGCGTATGGATAGTTTATGGACACCACAGGCATCAAGAAGGTTGACTAGGAAATTGTGAGAAGAGGGCTGAGGACTAAACCTGGAGGAACCCCCAACTTGGGTAAAAGGAGACCAAGAGGAAATGACCAGAGATAACAGGAGAATCAGGGGAGTGTGGCATCACAGAAGCCTGGGGAAGACAGTATTCCAAGATGAGTAGGGGTGGGACATTGTAAAGTATCTAATGCTGCTCAGAAGCCAAGTAAGATCAAGACACAAGGTCCACTGGGATCGGCAGTATGAAGGCTGAGGATGGCCCTGGGAAAAGGCCTCTCAGCCAAGGAGTGAAAGCAAAGCCCAGACTGAGCTGGGTTGAGGAGTGTCTGGGGAACACTGATGTGTCCTGAGGAGACAGGACACTGTCTACTATGTCTACTATGTCCACTGTCTACTATGGCTCCTTCAACAAGCAGGGAGGGGAGGCGAGGGACAGGGCAGTGGCTGGAGGGGGCAGGAGAGGCAGTGGAGTTTAGGAAGGGTTTGCTAAGATGAGGGACTTTTAAAAGGCTTAAATGTTATTGGGAAGGACCTAGAAAGAAAAAAAGTTGAATATGCAAAAGAAAAAAGAGGAAACAGGATTTACAACTAATGTTTTAAGGGCTGACTTGGGAAGGAGGGGCACAATGCAGGTAGGTGTGGGGACAGAGTTCTCAGTTGAGGACTTGTTTAACTCCAAGTTGGGCCGGGCGCAGTGGCTCACGCCTGTGATCCTAGCACTCTGGGAGGCCGGGGCAGGCGGATTGCTCGAGGTCAGGAGTTTGAAACCAGCCTGAGCAAGAGCAAGACCCTGTCTCTACTATAAATAGAAAGAAATTAATTGGCCAACTAATATATAGAGAGAAATTTAGCCGGGCATGGTGGCGCATGCCTCTAGTCCCAGCCACTTGGGAGGCTGAGGCAGCAGGATTGCTTGAGCCCAGGAGTTTGAGGTTGCTGTGAGCTAGGCTGACGCCACGGCACTCACTCTAGCCTGGGCAACAAAGCGAGAAGGACTCTGTCTCAAAAAAAACCAAAAAACTCCAAGTTGCCTTTATCATCATGCTGCCTCATATAAGGTCCCACAGATCATCCTTTCCAAAAACCAGGAAATTATTGTGGCAGTGTCACCAACCACTCCTACCATGGCCCTTACCGTTAGATAATTCTCACATTAAACCAGGACCCTGTATCTCATAGACCCTGGGGTTCTGTATCATAACAAAGAATTCCTAAAATGAACTACTTACTGTGATACTGGGAATTTGGTCTCAGGGATTAAATCATATATTTCTTGCCAGTCTTGGGGTATGTCAATAAAATCTCGATAAACCTTGATTTGTAGCACTGTTCCTATGGTGATATGATGCAAAAGCTTTAAAAATTCTCGTAGAGTATATCCTAACACATTGGCATAGCCAACACTAATCAGAACATCACCTGAAGAGTGAAAAAAAAAAAAATTATCAGAACTAAGATAATGGTTGAAAGGGGCCATATTGATCTTTGGCTTTACTGTGAAGTATTTTATGGGTTCATATTCTTGATTAATTTTTAACCAAAACCAGGCATCAGCCTTTATTTAATAAAGATGTTCATTTCCGTAATATAAGCGGCCTGTGCATAATGAAGAATGCATGCAAGATGTTTCTTAATAGCAGCGGTGTGATGGTAGCATTATTTTTTTTGAGACATTTCCAAAGTTCTTGGTGTGACAGAGGCTAAAAACCACTTATATGAACTATCCTGGAGAGTCCTGGATAGAATGGATTTGACAGCTAGGTCCCCTACGTTAGAGCAATGCAGGACAAGGAGGGACCAGCTCCGATAGGACACCCACTGAGCTTAAATCAGGAATTACACTGCTCCCAAAAAAAGCCTCCAAGGATGCCAAGGAAAAATTTCCATAGTTCTAGATCCTACCAGATACCAAAATTCCCAGAATTCAAGAAAGTGAATACTTAGGAGGGTAGAAAAGAACCTTCTACTTTGGTTTTAAGAAGTAGCTGGGAGTGAAAAAATCAACCAAGTATCTGAAGCTAACTTCAGAATGAAACAAGGCTACCTGCAGATTGTGCAGCATGAAACATCTGCTCATCCTATGGAGGTTAATTACAATGGCAAAAAAAAAAAAAAAAACCCTCACTAGAGGAGCTTACTTGCCTACTGTTAAAAGGAGTGTTTATAGCTGAAAGCTATGGCTTGGCATTCTGCTTAATTATGTTGTAATAGGGTGACTTTTATCAAGAGGGCAGAAAATAAACAGCTTAATTCCCTGACCGTTCTGGCTGTAAACCAAACGTGTCAGTGTATGAATGTGATTACTCTGGCAATAGATGTTAACATTGCCCTTCATAGGGCCAGGTCCCGTGGCTCACGCCTGTAATCCCAGCACTCTGGGAAGCTATAGGCGGGAGGATCTCTTGAGCTCAGGAGTTGTGAGACTGACCTGATCAAAAGCGAGACCAAAAATAGAAAAAGTAGCCAGGCATGGTGATGCACACCTGTAGTCCCAGCTACTCAGGAGGCTCAGGCAGGAGGATCGCTTGAGCCTAAGAATTTGAGTTTACAGTGAACTGTGATGACACCAGTGAACTCTACTCAGGGTGACAGAGTAAGACTCTTGTCTCAAAAAAAAAAAATTGCCCTTCATAGAGATACACCAATTTTGTATTTATGAACACCAACCTCATCACACATTTGTTTTCTGTTTTAAGGGGCTTATAGGAATGACATTATATAAACTTTGTCTCGATTATGTATATTAAATCAGCCTTGCAGCAGCCAAGCTGCTGCTAAAAAGTAGATTTATTTTTCTTCATCTCTCCTATTAGGGCATAAGATCTCTAAGTTCCATGTGGGTGGGGACATCTGTCTGGCTCATCACTCCGCCCTAAGTGCCGAGCTGCGTGTCTGCATGCAGAGGGCATTCAGGAAATGCTTAGTGGATGCATGTGGCCTGGGAAGGGCAGTAGCCAGTAAATGACTTGTATTTACTGTCAAAGCCATATTCGTTCCTTAAGACTTTTTGGATATTAGAATCTGTTAAAGCCATACTGACCAAAAGGAATTTGAAGTTTAGCTAGAATACACTAACACTAAACTCAATTAGGAAATCAAGAGGAAACCCTATCAGGAAACACCAAAGGAGAGAAATTTAAAGCACATGCATGAGAAATAATGGGAGACAGTGGGGTCAAAGAAATAGCAAGTTTCTATGATTATTGCCTCCCAAAAATCTCAGAATCATTGTCAAAAATGACTGAATTACAAAGACTTTGAAGTGGTGGACTTGTCACAAAGAGATGCAGGGCTCTGGACGTCCTCTGTATTAAAATCTCATCTCTAGTTATTAGGCAATTGGCTATAAAGGTATGGGCTTTCTTAGCAGAAATGGGTTCAAATCCTAGCTCTGACCACAGACTTCGTTGTGTATATTGAAAAACAAGTTACTTCATCTCTCAACACCTCTATATTTCATTATCTATATTTCAGGAGTGTTGCAAACATTAAATTAGATAATAGATGTGAAAATACGTTGCACAGTGCCTGGGACAAATAGTCATTTATTAAGCACAGACATAATAAATGTACCAATACTGTAGGTAAGTCCTGGATTTTTTTTCTTTTCTTTTCTTTTCTTTTTTTTTTTTTGAGACAGGGTCTCCTCTCTCACCTGGGCATCATCATAGTTCACTGAGACCTCAAACTCCCAGGCTCAAGCAATCCTGCCTCAGCCTTCCAAGTAGCTGGACTACAGGTGCACGCCACCACGCCTGGCTAATTATCCTATTTTTAGTAGAGATGGGGTCTCACTCTTGCTCAGGCTGGTCTGAACCTGTTTCCTCCCACTTTGGCTTCCCAAAAGTGCTGGATTACAGGTGCAAACCACTGTACCCAGCTGTAAGCCATGGATTTCAAAGATGAACTAAAGACTGCCTCTGACTTCAGAGAGCCCACTAACTGTGGCTCCAATGTGAGAGTCTGTGGCTCAGGCATGAAAGCATACTCCTGTCTCACTCGAGCACCGCGGATTGTGTACCTGGATCATCCACCAGCATCTGTCACCTGACCCCAGAGAAGCTGAGAAAAAGAAGCAGAAAAGCTTATGGGACCTGTCCTGGGATTGTCTTGGTCTAGGAAGTCCAGAACTCTCATTTTGGCAGTTTGTTTCCCAGCACCAAGCAGTGATACATGAGGGAAACACTTTGATTTTCAGGTAAACTGTTCCATAAAAGTGTAATTTATCTACTTTCTTCGTTAATCTATTGCTTCCAACCTAGCTGCAAATTAGAATCACATAAGCTTTTAAAACATGGACTGCCCTGTCCCAATCCCAGGACAATTGAATCAGAACCTCTGAGGATATGAGGCCCAGGTGTCTTAGTTTTAAAAGCTCCCCAGGTGATTCTAATAGGTAACCAGGGTTGCAAACCAGTGGTTTAATCCACTGGGACTCCTATGTCACAGTCATCTTTTATATTTAAAAAAAAAAATGACACAAGTCTAGAGAATCTGTAAGTAATAACAGCCTTAGAGAAATTACTGCCAATAATTCTATATCTTTCTAAACTTTAGAGTTAAAAGCACTTTCATAAAAATTGTTTCATCAAAAATTGTTTCATCCTAGCAACATCTGACAAAGATAGGATTATCCCAGTTTGAAGATGAGTGATGACTGATGCCTAAAAGGTTAAGTGACTTTGCCCAAGGTCAGAGAACTAGAAAGTGGCAGAGTAGGGGTCTGAATTCAGGCCACCTAACACAAAATGGTTTTTCCTTCTCACCACTTCACCATCCCATTGTGCCTTCCCCACTCAGAGCACGGCCCTAGGCTCAGGCCAGGAACTCGGAAAACACATGTAGAACTGATGGAAAATTCACTCACCCAAAGAGAGGCAGGGTGGTATTGGCAAAGCCAATGGGCTCTGGAGTATGACAGAGAGGGTTCAAATCCTAGCTCCTCAATGTGACCATGGACAAGTTACTAAATACCTGATTCCTTGTCTGTAAGATGTTTTAATGCAGAATCTCCCCCAGAGGTTGTGAGAGTATAATGAGAACATGCCTCTAAATGTCAGCAGAGATTAATACTGCCTACAAAAGAAAAACATCTGTGTGCACCGAGAGCCATAAGCTCTAGAGTCACTGTGCCTGTGTTTGTATAACATGTGCAACGTGCAGGTGGACCTGGATGAGGAGCTTTATCTCACTGAGCCTCAGTTTGCTCACCTTTTGGGGTATGATAACAACATTGCTACCTGAGGGGTTATTATAAGAATTAAGTGAATTAATACACCCAATAGGGAGAGATACATAAGTGGTAGCAATTGGCTGGCCCATAGAAAGTTCTCAACCAGTGTCATCATGTTCTTATGGTTACAATTTGTGACTCAAGTCTCCCTGAAGGCAAATGGGAGGGATGCAGGGGGATGGGTGGTTGGGATGCATGGGGAGACCACAGTCACCTGGCTGGAGTTTCCCGTCCTTCGCTGCAGCCCCCTTCTTGATGAGGTGAGTGATCTGGAGGTAGGGCCCATGCTGGATGAGGATCAGGCCTAATCCCAGGCTGCCCACAGTGAGTTTGGTCTGCTGCGTTTTGCTCAAGTTGTGTACAGATTCCTTGACCTTGAGGTTGACTTGTCTTTCTGATAGAAAGAGGAGAGTTTGTTTCAGTCCTTCACCAAGACAGTAAGTAGCATGGCAGTAGTCAATGGGGTTCTGAAGCCAGAACCCTGGGGCAGTTATTTAACCTCCCTACTCCTCAGTTTCTTCATCGGTAAAGTGAGGATAAGAAGTGTCCACCTCAGAGATCTGTTCTGGGAATTAAATGGGACCATTAAAGGGCTATTACACAGAGTCTGGCATATGATGAGTGCTTAATTAATAGTAGTTATTACTATTGATTTATTACTGTTTACTTAACAAATATTTATTGATGCAGGCAGTGTGCTAGGCCCTGTGTTTACTGTGGTGAGCCAAACAGATATATTTCTTGTCCTCATGGATCTTACAGACTAGTGGAGGAAACAGATATCAGTCAGTCAAGTAAATACACGTTGGATAACAAACTGCAACACATGCTATGAAGAATAAGGACAGAGAGCTCTGAAGGTGAACAGGGAGCCAAAGTCTCATCAGGCTTCCTAGAGGGGTTGAAATTTGTTTTTGTTTTTCTTCCCCCACCCCCCACCCTAAAATTTGAATTAAGGTCAAGAGGACCAATAGGAAATATTTAGGCAAAGCAGGGTGGAGGGAGCAACCTATGTCAAAGTCTGAGCCAGAAGAAATGAGCCCTGTCAAAGGAGGGGGCAGGCAGGAGAGGCAAAGTCCAAGCAGACAGGCTAGCTCTCAGATTTACCTTCATGAAAAAACTTGGAAATAATTTAAGCTGGACATGATCAGAATTGCATTTTTTAAAAATGAAAATAAAGGCCAGCACGGTGGCTCACACCTGTAATCCTAGCACTCTGGGAGGCCAAGGTGGGAGGATGGCTTGAGCTCAGGAGTTTGAGACCAGCCTGAGCAGGAGTGAGACCCCATCTTTACTGAAAATAGAAAAATTAGCCAGGAATCAGGGCACATCCCTGTAGTCCCAGCTACTCAAAAATGGAAGCAGGAGGATCGTTTGAGCCCAGGAGTTTGAGATTACAGTGAGCTATAATGACACCACTGCACTCCAGCCCAAGCAACAGAGTGAGACTCTGTCTCAAAATGGGAAAAAAAAAGAAAAGAGAGAAAAGAAAAGAAGTGAAGAGGTCTGGAAGTTTAACTTGGCTTAAAAAAAATGAAAGGGCCATTGCCCGTGTCATGGCAGTGACAGTGGAGGTGCACAGCAGATGGAACCAAAAAGCACTTGGGAGGACACCTGAAGGCCCTGGGGACAATGGGCAGTTGTGGGAATTGAAATATGTTTTCTGTGGAACCAAATCTCACAAGGAAAGTTTCAAGGACTGAGGAGTGATTTAAAACAAGAAAAGTTATTTTCCAGAGAGGAAGCTTCTAGGAGAATCCTTTTCAGTACACAGGAAGCCTTTGGGGAGATCACACCTTTCTAGCATTTCACACACAACTCTTTTCCATAAGGACAAGTGACAATTTGACAACTACAACTTGCCAAGCCCACATGACTGTGATGTTTTTAGGGCCATTACTGAGTAAGGGATTCCCCCAAATCCCAGCCCCCAGCTATGGAGAGCTGGCAGGACTTATGGCCCTTTCCTCAAAGCAAAGGTCCTTGCCCAGCTCTATCCCTCACCTTCCCCCACAGGTGCTCTCTGTCTGGAAAATAAAACAAGGTAGCATGAATGTCATGAAAATGGATTCATATAGTAAGGAGCCTTTTGGGTCTGGCTTCCTTCACTTAAGCCCGCTGATTTTTGAAACTGGGCTTCCTCGGAGATCCTTCAGGATTCTGGGAGGATCTGGGGCAGGGCATGCCCTTCTGGAGCACCTGGTTCCTGGGCATACTGAGAAGTCACATCTTAGGCAGGGTCTGACTGGTTCCAGACTCAGCTTGCAGATTCAATGTGCTCATGATGTCACCACCTAGGAAGCCCAGTTTCAAAAATCAGCGGGCTTAAGTGAAGGAAGCCAGACCCAAAAGGCTCCTTACTGTATGAATCCATTTCCATGACATTCTCCATGGAAAAGGCAAAACTATAAAAATAGATGGGGAGTGTGTGAAAAGCTGGGGTGGGGAAGTGTTGGCTGCAAAGGGGCAGCGGCAAGGTGATTTTGGGGGTGGTGGAACTGTTTCCTATCTTGATTGTGGTAGTGGTTCAACGTGGTTGCACGCTTGTCAAAATTCTATAGCTGTGCTCTAAAAGGTGGGAGGTGGGGAATCTTACTGTATGGAAATTATGCCTTGATAAACAAACAATGGCAAGAGGTCACCTCCCAGGCCAAGAGTGTGATCTGGCCATTTTACAGAGGAGGAAAAGTGAGGAAGGCTTTGTCCCCAGGGCATCGCCCTCTCCCCACTCCCCTGTTACCATTTCTGGTTTTGCGGGTGGACTTCTCCATGGCCCCGGAAGGGCGGGCGGCTCCAGAGGGCCTGGGGAGCCAGAGGCTGGAGTCAGTCAACTCCCAACAGTTTGGAACCCTGGAGGCCCAGAGACCTGAGATTACCGCGGAGACCAGGGGAGCGTGATGGGCTGCGCGCCTCGGGACGGCCACCAGGGGGCGCTGCGCCGCCATCTCCCAGAACTGGACACAGCGAGGTCAGTGCAGGGCCCCAGAGCACCCTGGAAAACGCGGCGGGGGGCTTGCACTCCAGGGCAGTGTGTGAAAACATCGGTGGAGAAGAACAAAACTCCCGTGGGGACTTGCGCAGTGCCTGACTCACAGGGGGTTCTTCGTTCACTCATTCTTGGTGAACCATGGAAATGGGGATGGGGAAAGGGTGTCTAAAACACGGGAGGCGTCGACATAGGAAGATCACAGGAGATGATTGATCACTGGAGATCGTGGAATCCCTGGGACCGGAGTATCCCCTGCTGCGCTTCTAACAGGGTATTTTTATAGTATTGTTACACCAACTGTTTTGGAACTGCACTTTTTTAATTCTTATTTTTATTTATTTTTTTTTTTTGAGACAGAGTCTCGCTTTGTTGCCCAGGCTAGAGTGAGTGCCATGGCCTAAGCCTAGCTCACAGCAACCTCAAACTCCTGGGCTCAAGCGATCCCTCCTGCCTCAGCCTCCCCAAGTAGCTGGGACTACAGGCATGCGCCACCATGCCCGGCTAATTTTTTCTATATATATTAGTTGGCCAATTAATTTCTTTGTATTTATAATAGAGACGGGGTCTCGCTATTGCTCAGGCTGGTTTCGAACTCCTGACCTCGAGCAATCCGCCCGCCTCAGCCTCCCAGAAAGCTAGGATTACAGGCGTGAGCCACCGCGCCGGCTTTGGAACTGCACTTTTTTCATGGATGTTTTGAATGAGAAAAGGCTCAAGGGTGGCCTGAAAAAAAAACAACAACAACAAAAAAAAACGAGTCACTATTAGAAGAGACACTATTAATGCTTCCTTCTTTTCTCCAAAGTAATCCTTCCTCCCACACGCATTCACTCACAAAAGGAAAGGAGTATTTACAGGAAGCCACACTAGGGTTTGTGCTCATGCCAGGGACACCGCAGTAGACAAGACAAACAACGGCTCTATCCTCTTGGAACTCAGATTTAAAAACAGATGAAATGGACAATTTAGGAAAATATAAATCATCAAAATTAAATTTTTAAAGAAAGAGAAAACAACGTAATGAGGTAGGTCTTCTTGTTATCCCCACTCTGATGTAACTGAGAGGCTAAGCACCTGGCCCAGGGCCGTCATCCCTTCAACAAGTGGAAACCAAGCACCTATTAGGTGTCGGGCACTGTGCAAAGATTTCCATGGTGAACCTGGGCAGTTCCCAGCTTATTCGTCTGTTTCTGTGGCTCTGCCCAGACAATAAACCAGGGTCAATTTCTCACTGGGTAAATCCTGTGTCACAGAGGCTGATACAAAGGGCTGCTCTCAACCTCAAAGAGTCTCCCGCCAGTGTTTATTGTTTCAGGTCATCTGTTTCCTCTTCCAAACAGTCTGGCAGGGTCTACCCAGATACCAACTTAATTCTATCATAAACACATCCTTTTCCTCCTATCAGTAGGGGGAGGGGAATAAAGTTTGTGGAAATAAAGCCCATCAGCATTGGAGGTTCTGTGATGGGAGCATATTCGTGCCAGGCATGTAAAGGGTCCCTCAGCCTTCTGTCCATCCCAGGCTGAAAAGACTCTTTAGAGTGGATGCCAAGGTCATGCTGATTGGTAGAATTGCAGGATACAAACTGTCATGGATGCTGTGCTGTGCTTCCCAGATCCTGTTAAGGGCTGAACCCAACCGCAAACCCCACTCCTGCTGCTGGCTGAAGAGGGCCCCTTCCCCAAAATCACACCTTCCCTGGGCTGCTAGCATCCAATGCCTGGTTCATGCAGGGCCATCCAGCTTCAGAGCTCCCCACAGGGTCCACTGAGGCCCTGTCATGGCTGTACTTCAGCCTAACTTTGCCCTCTGCCCTATCCTGCTTCCTTCCGTCTCTCCCCATAAATGTTGGGTTCCAAAAGCACTCCCCTAATAAACTCCCTGCAGCTCAGAGTCTGCTTCCTAGAAAACCCAGCCCACAACAGCTGGTGCCAATGATTGGAGAGAGTGGATGCTAAGAGGGGACTTTGGAGCTGGATTATCCAATGCTCAGATAATAATGAGGACCCTATCCCGGTAGAGGAGGAGCATAGGCAGCCTCTAGCAAAGGGAAACTCTAAGATTGCTAAATTTTCTACTAGTAGTAAATGGATGGCATACTGGGGGAAGGAAGCTGGCTGCAAATACATACAGGGGCAAGGAGGAATGTTTGGCACCCATATGATCCATTTGGGTGTCTCTTAGTACTCCCTTGTCCTATTTTTACATTAAATGGAGAAATACAGCAGCCACAGCCTGAGAAGTGCATGGCAACCAGGGGCTCAAACTCTTCAGGGATGCAGGTCTAGGCCATCTCACTGCATATGCCCCCTAAACCATCAGAGGTGCTGGAAGAGGGTGAGAGGAATCTGGAAGGATAGGAGAAGAAAGAAAAAATGAGTATGTTGTTTATGCCTCAGGATGAGCTTCAGCAGTGGCAGGAGCTGTGATTTGTCCCACTAACTTTCCTCTATACGTTTCCCACAGGAAAAAATGCCCCCCAAGGTCCTGAAAGTGCTATACTCTGAAGGAGTGAATGATCTGCACAGCACCATGGTGGTATGCTGCAAATGCTGCATTGTGCTGCCTAGGTCCTCCTTCAGGACTGAAGGACTATTGCCCAGCTACTGGAGAGATGTAGGTTGGCAGATCTCTGCTGCCAGCCAGCCCTCTTGAGGAATTGTCTTTGTTTGAAGAGCGTTGCCTTCCCCAAGGTCACGCCTCATTCCTGTGGCTAGCATCCAATGATGGGTCAGTGCAGGGATGTAAAGGCTTGACCCCTTTCCCTAACTCAGAGCAACTCATGGTGGCCATCCCAGCTTCAGATCTCCCACTGGGGTCTGCCAAAGCCTTCTGTGCCTGCACCCTGGCCTGACTTCTCTCTCTGCCCAATCCTGCTTCCTTCCCTTCCCCCACTGAAGTTGATCCTGGGAGTCTCTCTAATAAATTTACTGTACACTAATCGATAGTCTCTTGTCTCCAAGTCAGCTCAAAGGGAACTGATCTGAGACAAACTGAGATTTAAGCCCCAGCCACAAAGGGCTAACCTCTGGACTTAGCTCCTTTGTCTTCTCTAACCCCAGAAACCCCAGGTACACACATGTGGTACATCCACCACACTCTTGGCCCACGTGGTAAACTTGACCCCCAGGGAGGTAGTGTGTTCTTTATCCTGCCAGGCCAAATATACTCCTTAAAGAGAAGAGTGATCGTACAGTCCTTTCCAGAGCCTTCCCCGAAGTCCCATCTGGATTCAGCCTCTTCTGGCCAAGGCCTACCATCCATCACAATAAAACATGCCATGTTCACGGCCCTTTAACAGCTGCAGAATGGCTATTTATGACTTTGGGCTGCCAGCATAGTTCCCTCCTGGGGGCCTTCTATGTTCTTCTGTGTCCCCAAGGACTTTCTGCCATAAGGAACCTCATACTCATCTCTGAAAAGGTCCAGCTGCTTTGTTTAGGGCTGGGTGAGAGGATGGGATGCTTCTATTACTAAGACAGAGTGACTCTGGGAGTTTGTTATGTCAGATAGGGGAAAGAGGCCCAGAGAGGTGACATGACTTTCCCAAGGTCAAGTTACCATGTTTTCCCGAAAATAAGACAAGCTCTTATATTTATTTTTCCTCAAGAAGACACCCTAAGGCTTATTTTCAGGGGATGTGTTATTTTCCCCTCAAAGCCTCAGCTTGCAGCATGCACAGGATGGCAGGGACCTGACATGGGGAGCTGACCTTGTTGGTGGGGCTGCCTGCACATTTTAGGCCACCTCTGGGATAGTAGCTGTCACAATGGGGCAGATGAGAAGGGCTGCTCCTCTTCTTTACTGCTCTACAACAAAATGCATGGGTTGTACAGATACACTGCATAGCCATGCCCATCACTAGGTATTTTTGGGGTAGGGCTTATATTGCGCAAATGTTTAGAAATCCTGCTAGGGCTTATTTTATGGGTAGGTCTTATTTTCAGGGAAACACAGTAGTAGCAGGGCAGATACCAGTACATAGTTTTGCATTCTTTTTGCTCCAGTACACCACTTCTCCCAAACCCTTAGGATTTGCCTCTACTGAAATCTAGACTGAGATAGAGAGGGAAGGAAACTGATCTGTCCTGCAGATCTCAGAGACTGGGAACTTTGAAACACCAGTTAAGTTGGAAGGCAAGAATAAGATGGGGCTAAAAACAAGGATTAATGGGAAATCTGTAAATAGTGTATTTGGCCCCTGCCAACCCCACCCTCATCTTGGTTGGTAGGAAGGGATGAGATAGGTGACTACCATGTGCAGTGATGTGCAGCCATTAATCTGATGAAATTGTTTTAAATTCCTTTAACTCAATACTGATTGTTTTTGTTCTTTAATCTTAAATCCAGAACCATTTGTGGAGGGACAAAGGAGGGTCTAGGAAGGACTGCCTGGGGAAAAGGAAGGATTCATATGTGTATTTTTTTAAACACAAGAATCAAATCATCATCATTCCACTGAGCTGGAGTTAGAATAGGTGCAAACTCTTCTAACGTTTGACCATAGGATTCTCATCAGTTGGCCAATAGTAAACATCAGTGGATATTATTTGGGAATTTAGCCCTGTGTAGTTAGAGTTTCTTCTGTTAGTGAACAATGGAAACAGCAACCAAGAAGCCAAGAATATGACTTCATTAAAATTCTCCAGTACTTATTAAAAAAAGAAAAGAAAAAAAGAAAGTGAAGACCTCTTGCAGTAATGTGATATGCATCATATCTGGATCCTTATCATCTTATGTCAATTTCTGTGGCAGAGGAAAAATAAATTGTATAATAAAAAAAGCCCTGCTCCCCCCAAGAGACCAGTATTTGGACAGGAAAGTCTATAGATAAGCAATCAAATCCCTCCTTCCCCAATCTATGTAGTGACACTGTACTCTGCTCATTTCTGCAAGGCTGTTGGATTTGTTGGAATTTGAAACCTGCTGAATTTTGTGGACATGTAGTCATTCCAAAAATAGAGACAGATGTCACTCTTCTAGGTCTTTCTAGAGATGACCTATGTGTCATTTAAGAAGAAAGTGTCTCATCTCCATTTGCTGCATGGAGTACTATCTGGGAAAGAGAGCTGGATCCAAAGTCAGGATTAATAGTGATTTGGCCCATGAGCCATAGATGAAAAGAAAACCTCCACTAGATAGCAAAATTGTACATGGAAAGATCAATCATCTGTATTGCTAACAAAATTATGCAAATGCCTTATATATTTTTTTCCTGTTTATCCATCCAACCTAAGACTCTCCTCACACCTCAACTCAGCAAACAGGATTACTAAACACTTTGTTGCTCAGGCCAAAAACTGAGGAGTCATTTCTGAGTTCTCTCTTTCAACTCCTCCCCCATTAACAGCAAGTCCTTCCCTTTAACTATTTACAAAACATCCAATCTGTCCATTTTTCTCCATCTTCACCATTCTCACCCCGGCCAAATCTACAGTCCTCTCTCCTGGACTAGTTGGCCTCCTAGTTGTCCTTGCTTTCACTTTCGTCCCTCCCCCTTACAAGCACAGATGAACTAAGATCATGGGACTCTCCTTCTGAAAACCCTCCAGTGCCTTCCCGTTGCACTTAGTACAAAAGCCAAATTATCATGGCACCAAAGCCCTACTCCTGGCCTCTGCCCATCTCTTCTCATACCACTCTCCAGCCACATAGGCCATTGTGTGGTTCCTTGAACAGGCCAATCTCTTCCCTCCCCTCCTTCCCAGAGATCTTTGCCCTGGCCGTTCCCTCTGTCTGGTCCTCCTGCCGCAGGTCTTCAAAGGGCAGGTCTCTATAATCGTGGAGGTTTCAGTGGCAATGTATCCTTCTCTGACCACCATAAGTATCACCACCCCCATTTAATTAGCGGATCAGCACTTGAATTTATCTTTATTTTAAAGATAGGTTGCCAACGTATTTCTGTCTCTTCCCCACCCGAATGTAAACTTCGCGAGAGCGGGAACCTTGTTTCTGTCCACTCCAGTGACCCCAGAATCCATAGAGCCTGACGCAGAGCTATTTCCTAAATGGGGCAATGCTCAGAGCCGCCACGCACGGAACGGGCAATGATATTACAAGGTGACAAGAGCCGTGCGGGGCCCGGTGTCACTTCGCGGGAGTTGGGGCCCGTCTCCAGCAGGAAGACAGGCGGCTTCCCTCCTCCTCCATTCCAGTCTTGCTTTTGAAAGGCTGGGGCGGGGGGGGGGTGGAGGGGGGTTGTGCCCAAACAGTCATCAACATTATTACTGGGAAGAAAGCCCAGAGGCGGCGTGGCCTGCCGAAGGGCCCAGGAGCGCGTCAAGGACCGGAGCCGGAGCGGTCGGGTCCGGGTCCGGGTCCGGGTCCAGGGCAGCGAGGCGGGCGGGGAACCGAGGCCGCGGGCCTAGGCGATAGGCAGGAAAGCATAGCCAGGAGGACTGGGCGCCCGCCCTGCTGCCCGAGAGCTGGGGCTGGCCTCGCCTGCGCCGCGGCTTCGCTTCCGGGTGAGGGGCGGGCAGCCCGAGCAGTTCCGGGGCGGGTGGCGGTTCCGGCTGTGCGGGCCGCGCCGCGGCTGCTGGTCCCGGGCGCGCGGAGGGCGCGAGCGGCGCGCGGGGGCCGAGGGGGCGCGAGGCGGCGGCGCGGGGACTCCGGGCCCCGGCGGCGGCCCATGGGGCGGGAGGCGTGAGGCCGCGGCCTGCCCGGGGCTCGGGGGGTGGGGGGAACGGGGCAGGGAGATGGATAAACTGACCATCATCTCAGGATGTCTCTTTCTGGCCGCCGATATCTTCGCCATCGCCAGCATCGCCAACCCGGACTGGATCAACACCGGGGAGTCCGCGGGTGAGCCGCGGGCGCGCGGGGCCGGGCGGGGGATTGGCTGAGGGCGAAAGGAGGGAGGGGAGCCCGGGCTGAGGAGAAACCGAGGCTGGGAGGTCCCCGGCAAGGGCTGGTCTGAGGAGAATGGGGGCGGAGAAGAGACCCGGGCCAGGGAGACTGGCAGCCGGGGCTGAGTGGGAAAGGGGATGGAGACCAGGAAAGCGGCTGGTCGCGAGCGGGACCCCCAGGCTGAGGGCAAGGGCGCCCCAGGCTGAGTGAAAAGTGGTCGAGGAGACCTGGGCTGGGCTGGTGGGCTCCGGACGCGGGATGGAGGGACAGTACCCCGACCTGAGGGACAGTGGAGGAACGAGGTACGTTTTGTATTTAAAAAAAAAAAAAAAAAAGTCAAGGTAGGAGACGGGAGAAAACTGAGGCTCCTGTGAGGGAATTAGAAATCGGGCAGCGAGACTGAGGCTGCGAATGAGGCAGCCAGCCCATGGGGCAATGCAAGAGCCACCCAGAGCGCTGGTGGGCGAGGAGAGGCCGAGAGGGGTCATATCCGACTCCAGAGCCTCAGAGGACGCCCGCCGGGTGAGAGGTGTGGGGTGCTGCGGGCGCTGACCCCCTGAGGCAGGGTTAAGGGTTGGTGCTGGGAGAGCTGGTAGGTTTGGCGGGGGTGGAGGGAATGAGGGGCGCCAGATCCGAGTCCCCCTTCCCCCGCCCCCGCCCATCCCCTGCCCGCTTGGCAGTGTTTGAGACGCTTGTGGCTTCGGATTTTCCTTTTGAAGTGTATGTGGTTATAATTTTGCTTTATTTTAGGCCCGGGAGCTATAATAATACTAATAATAAACCTCATTTTATGGAGCATCTTTCATTCCAGCGCATCACAAAAACGCTGTAGAGATCTTAATAGTAGTTACAAAATTAAATAACACATCAGAGTTGCAGGCAGCCCAGCAGCGGTGGCAGTGCCTGCTGTAACACCACGGAGGTGTAGGCAGGAGAGACAAGGTGGTGCCCTCAGGAAAGAGGCTGGCATCCTTCTGAAGGGGATCCCAGATGCATGCGCTTGCAAGATTTTTCTCTTGCAAGAGCCACTTCTCTCCCTTCTCCCTCCTCCCTCTCAGACCTGTGAGACCAAACCTTTAATTAATGTAAACAGCTGTCAGGAGAGCTGCTCTGAATTAAGGAATGGTCTTGTTTTTAAACTGCTTGTTCAGTGCAGGTGAAGGGACCATTGGGGGTGGGAATGTCAGGCTCCCTCGGTGAATGATTTGTTACAAAAACGTATCACTATGCTGTCAAAACTTACTTCTTAAGTATCACTTATGGTTCTGTATTTATCCTGCAGTATTTTTAGCTCTTAAAAAAAGCTGTAGCTGGGACATTTGTTGCTTCCTCCTCCCTTCCTTCTCTCCCCCAATCTAGACCTAGTAACACAAAATCATGCTGTCAGATTTGCTGGTTATTAAAATAACACTCTAAAGAATTCTGCTACTTTTCTTGCCTATGAAGTTTTAGCAGAGCTCTTAATTGTAAAGCATGTAAAGATAGTATCAGGATGGCTTAGAATTTCGTGATCCTGTGTATAACTCTATATACTTATGACATCCAGTTCACGACCCATTGTTTCTTTATCCTATTTATATGTATATGATTCCTTTTATGAGACTTTATTTGGGGCCTTACATACTTAAGGGCAAAAGGATTTCACTGTTCTAGCGGAAAGATCCTTTTTGCAAAGATCCTTTTTGCAAAGATTCCACCTAAAGGTGGAATCCTAATAGATAAAATAGACTAAATGTTGATGGGAAAGATACAGTGGACAGAGGGACCTGTTGTATAAAAAAGATAAGTAGTAGCATAGTATTCATAAGAAGATAGAAAAGGGCAAGCTCCACTTATATTCAAAAGAAATAGGTTGGTCTGAGTTCAGTGGTGTTTACAACTAATTGATCACAACCAGTTACAGATTCCTTTGTTCCTTCTCCACTCCCACTGCTCCACTTGACCAGCCTTTAAAAAAAACATTAAAAAAAAAAAAAAAGAAAAGAAATAGAATGAGTACAGCTTCTTCAGATTTGTAGGCAAAGTCATCCGCTGTGAGTTGCCATGAATATGAAACGGACAGAAGTTTAAGGTTTAAAGGAAGTAGAAAATGTTTGGGAAAAGTAAGTAGTTGCAGCGAGAGTGTGCCAACCTGTGAAATAATAGCACTGAAGCCTCGTTGAAGTTTGTGTCATGAGCATATAGTGTGATAACCTGTCTGCCCTGTTGACCTTCTCTAGTAGTGCTCAGCTACTTTGGTACTGGTATAGCTGAAGTATGTGAATTTTCCAGATGTTTTTGGAAATCAGGAACCATTGAAAATAATCTAAATGCCAGTAGAAGGCTTTATTTGGGATTGGGGTTTGCCAGATACATGGCCACAAAATGACAGAGCAGCCAAGGTGTTTAGGGTATTGGCCAAAGTATTGTAATGATGGCTCATGGAATGTCTGGATAAAGAGTGAAAGTAAATAAAGGAAAAAGCAAATGGATTGGTCAGTTGAATAGCGGATAATATATGGTCAGTGAAATAGTGGACCTGATAAAATTGAGACCAGAGTGTGAGTGATTGGTACAGCAAAGTAGAATGGCAGGGGATTGTGGGCATAAGGACCCGAGTATAGCTGAAGCAGAGTGGAGGGAGTGATTTTTTTCCTAACAGTTGCTCTTGCCATCTTAGGATACCCTTTATTTAGTTAAATATTCTATAGCTAGAAAGAGAAATAATAGGAGATAGTAGGAACAGTAAGAAATTTTTCAAAATCAAATTTAACTCATAGTTCTTACCTTAAATATGTCAGACAATAAAACCTCTCAAAACTTGGGATGACTAGGGTAATATTTTCTTTTGTTCACTATTGTGTTCTTGCACTGTGATAAGATGTACCTGAACTTTGCTTGGGATATTTGCTTGAGCTTCTGTGCTCACAGTTTTATCTGAGCAGACAGATACAGTCTTTAGTTTAAAAAATAAAATAAAATTATACCTTCCAAATCAATGAAACATTTATAAGAAGTTCATATAAGATCCCAGTTGTGACAGGACTAGTTTTATTCTAAGATCTGCACAAAAGTGACTTATCCTGGCATATAAAGTGAATGTGTTGGTTCCCTTCGGTGTATTATATTCAGTCTATAAAAGTTTTGATTATGATGTTTTCATTGCATTTTTTTTCAAATGGATAAAACATCTTGGAGCTAAAAGGCTCTGCAGAATATAGGTGGACAACCACTGCAGTGAACTACTAAGGGAAAGTTTCAGGATTCAAATGTGAACTTTTTTTTTTATTGAGACAGACTTGCTCTGTTGCCCCAGCTAGAGTGCAGTGGTGTCTTCATAGCTCACTACAGCCTCAAACTCCTGGCCTCAAGGGATCCTCCTGCCTCCAGGCGCTACCACCACCCATTGACTAATTTTTTTCTATTTTTAGTAGAAATGGGGTGTCATTCTTGCTCTGGCTGCTCTTGAACTCTAGAGCTCAAGAACTCCAGAGCTCAAGAGATGTTCTATCTCGACTTCCCAGAATGCTAGGATCATAGGCCAGCCTTCAAATGCAAAATTGATCATTTAACTAGCTCTGTGACTTTATTCTTTAGCCTGTCTGCACTCTTTCCTCCTATGTAAAATAGGGATAATAGTACTACCCACTGAATGTGCTATTGTGATAATTAACTGAGTCCACATACAACATTTAGAACAGTACCTGACACCAGTAAAAGATACTGTTCTAGTTTATAAGAACAGGTGTCAGAATCTGAGTTTTGAAATTAAAGCCCAGAATTTGTTACTGTGAGAAATGACACCATTGGCTTAGAACACATGAAATACATGTCTTCCCTTTTGGCTTTGGACTTTCTCCATCAGTCTTCCAATCTGTTATATCCATACTCTAATCTCTGTCCTTCTCAGCTTATACTTGAACTACCACAAAAGGAAATGAAATAACAACATCAAAAAACTAAATAGAATAACTTCCTAAAAATCTCTATTGACAAACTATACTATGGACCATATTCTGGACTAGCAGAGTTCTTAGTTTGTTTTTATAGTATTGGTCCAAATACAGAGAAAGTACATTATTTTTTTTATTATAGGTCGTAATATTTCATGCACTTGTTCTAATGACTAGTGGATTATGCACAACTTTATATGTATAGGGAAAGTACATGGGGCAGGCACTCTAATAAGTACCCTTAGCAGTTTCTATTAGTGTAACCAAAAATAGTAAATGGTGGATGAATATAATGGCAAAATTACATAATTCTGTTAGACCGAGGTCAGATTTCTGCTGGTTACTGGAACTTGACATGAATAGCAATATCTTTCATTTTATATAGTGCTTTATAATTTTTGAAGCACTTTGACATCCATTACTTTAATCTAATTCCTTAGGCTTTTTATATTTGGCTGATGTAAAATAGTCGTTTCCACATTTTTTCCCACATGTCAATGCTTTGCACATGAGATTTGTTTCAGTGTTGTGAAGGCTCCCTTCAAGAAAACTCTTCATTGAAGTATTACCTATATCTTATCAATGCATACTTTTTACTTATCTTAAACGAGGTTCAAATTCTTCAGTGGCTGGAATTTTTGCCAGATTACAGAAGAGGAAAAAGAGATTTGGGTTTCAGTCTTTTTTTTTTTTTTTACTTTGTTGCCCAGGCTAGAGTGAGTGTCGTGGCGTCAGCCTAGCTCACAGTAACCTCAAACTCCTGGGCTCAAGCGATCCTTCTGCCTCAGCCTCCCGAGTAGCTGGGACTACAGGCATGTGCCACCATGCCCAGCTAATTTTTTCTATATATATTAGTTGGCCAATTAATTTCTTTCTATTTAGAGTAGAGACAGGGTCTCGCTCTTAGTCAGGCTGGTTTTGAACTCCTGACCTTGAGCAATCCTCCTGCCTCAGCCTCCCAGAGTGCTAGGATTACAGGCGTGAACCACCACTCCCGGCCTGGGTTTCAGTCTTAAAGTGAAA